AAATGAAACCCAAACTGCCTTGTGAGTGGGAAAGTGCCCCCAAAACCTGCAGGAGATTTCCCTACAGGTGAGCCCCCACCTGTCCCTCCCTCTGCTTCTTCCAGCCCCTCCTGGATCACAAGCACCAAGCAGGGCAGGGGTGAAACAGCACAAACCCAGCCAAAACACAACTTTCTGCTCCCTGCACGTGTCTTCCTCGAGGAAAGGGATGAGGAAGAGCAGCCCACCATGACCTGAGCCAGGCATGTTTAATGCAGGAGCAGAAAGTGCTCAAATAGTGGCAATTTCAGACGTCAGAAGGAAGAAAAGTACTGAAAAAGGAGTATAAACAGATGAAAATGATGCCTTGTAAATGCAGAATTGAGGGCACCTACTTTGGGCTGTAGTGAGTCATACAAAGGATTGTAGGAGAGCAGCAATCAGCCCCAAAGTATTTAATTTCTGAAGTGAAGGTAACTTTTGAAACCAGAATTTTTCTTTCCTCCCAGGCAATTATTAAACACTCTGATTTCACTGCAATACTTTTTTCAACACTTCTGAAAGATGATAGAAAGGCTCCAGTATCAAATTAACCATGATTTTTCAGAGAGAATGAAGTCACAAACATTTATTAGATTAAAATAAAATAACAAAGCCCACCTGATTTAGTTATGAGAACTATTTGGAAGAGCAATCAGGTTTAAGGCAAATGTCAACTTAAACAGAAAAGAAACCCCTGAGGATGAAAATGACTCAGAATGATGCAGAGAGTGCAAGTTTGGGAATGATCTTGTGCATGAAGGGAAAGTACATGACCTTCTCCTGGCTGACTGTCACGTAGGAATTAATAGGGACTATTGGCAAATTCGTAATAGTAGGAAAAAAGGCCAACAGCACATAGGTGAGAGACATCAGGAGATCTCATTGCTGCCTGTATTAACTGGCATGAAAAAATACAAATGGTTATGATGAATAAAGTGATTTTTAAAAAATATTAGAGTGCCTTTTTCTTTCATCTTCACCATCTTTAGCAGAGAGGCTGGATAGCTTGAGTGATTAGGGAAATAGAGGAGGAGATTGTTGAATAAGAAAGTGTTAAAAGAAATGCACCTGAAGTTAAATGCACATGCACCTGAGTTTTCTCTTAATTAACTTGAAGGCTGATGAGAAAAAGGTGTTTGAATTGTGGCTGGGTGGGCAGGAGTCAAATTCTACCCTCATTTACACTTGGGCAGCTCCAGATTGGCTCTGAGCTGGCTTTACCCTTGTGCACCACTCAATTCAATAAGAACCTGGTAGGTGTGGGGTTGATTTCAGTCAAATCACCCTTTCATTCAGGCAGGGCAGGGTGTGGTGCTGGGAGCTGCTCTAGAGTTCCATCATTTCCACCACCTGCAGCAGCACCAGGGTGCTGTGTGTGCAGAGGTTCCCAAGTCCTCTGAGCACCCCAATGAGGAGCAGCCAGGGGTGACAGTGCATTCCTGTGGCATGGAGCAGGTGGATGCTGCCCTGAACTTCTCCTGGATTTGTCCCCTCTTGCTCTGAGGTACGTGGTGTGTGCTGAGGGGTCTTGGCTGGGTGGGAGCTGGGTTTGGCAGTGTTGGTGGAGCTGCAGCTTTGGTTTTGGCTCTGGTCCTGTTTGCTTGTCTGGATTGTGGTGGAGGGCAAGGGCCTCGCTGCCCTGCAGCCCAAAGCCCCTGGGTTTGGTCTGGAAATTGTGGCACTGTGTAACTTCTCTACAAAGCTGCTTGTGAGCCAGACCAGGGCTTAGCTGGGTTTGCCTTCCCTGCTCTCACACCCTGAGATTGCAGGAGATGCTCTTGTGTTTTCTCAGCTCTCTTCTGGCTCCATGTCCTTTAGCTGTGGTGGGAGCTCACATCCTCCTCTCCTCTGCAGCTGGAGAGTTCACACTGCAAGGCTTTGGATTAGGAAAAAGCAAAGTGGTCACCAGGAGCTGGGTCAGACACAGGACACAGCCCTGGTCCCTGACTGCTGAGAACACCACAACTGGGCTGGGTAGAAAGCAGCAGAACCTCCCTGTGTACAACACCTTGTTTTCTCCATAAACCTGGGAGAGGGCAGGAAAAGCAGCAGTGCTCTGGGATTTCCTTTCTGACATAGTTTTGTTTGGTGCTCGGATGAATCCATGCAATATCTTGGCTAGAAACAATTCTGCTGATTGCAATGACTTTGTGTGTGCTGGCATGTCCAGCAGGGCAGCTCCTGCTGGGGCTGTGCTGAGGGTGCTGGTCCTGGTTAAAGCTGTGCCAGGAGGGGAGGAAGGTGACCCTCGAGCTGGGTAAAAGCCTGGAAGGGACCTGAGAGCCAGGGCTGTGTTTGGCCCTGGCAAACCCACTGGACCCTCTGGATCCAGAGCCTGGAGCTACAGAGCCCAACCAGCAGCAGCAGCTTGTTGGGCTCTGTACCCTGGAGAAATCCCTGCTGCAATACTCCAGAGGTTTCCCTGCTGGGACTGGTGCTTCTCAACTCTTCTGGGGTTTTTTTGCTTCATAGAATTTCAACCCAGCAGAGCCTGTCCTACCCCTGGGGCCTTGCCAGGACTGTGCCCACCTGGCACCATCCTCTGGAAATATTTCCAGCCTACTCAGGGGCTGCTGTAGGTGCAGGGCCAGTGCTGGTGGGACACCAGCTCCCATCTCAGCCCCTGCCCACAGGCTGGAGGTGAGGTTGGTCCTCCAGCAGGTTTTGAGACCCTCCCACACACGATGCTGTTCATGTGGCAGGTGTGGTGCTCTCTGCTTACAGCCTGTGGTGTCTTCCCGAAACTGTTTTATCTTGAAGCTTGACTCTGCTGTGAGATCTCCCTGGCAGCAACAGCTCCAGCCCTCCTGTCCCCTCTGCTCTCTTTCCTCCCCACCACCCTGGCACAGCCATTCCCCCTTCCCAGAGCAGAGGATTCCTGAGGACTCTGTCCTGCTCTCTCCTCCCACCCTCCTGGCACAAACTGGACCCTGGCACTGTGTTGTGGTGCTGGCTCCACTGGTACAGGGGAGTTTCCAGCTCCTTCCAGATGTGAAATGGCAAATTTAAATATTGCAATTACAAACGTGTAACGAAGCCTTGTACTTCATTAATGTAAGAGGAGGAATCTGCTACGGCTACAAGGACAATTAAATATTAGAGAATGTCTTTGATTCACATTCCTGCTGTGTAAATGGGAGGAAGGTTGCTGTATGCTCCTTGCCTTTGCGCTCACAAAATGAAAAGCACACCCACTGCAAGTTGTCCTTTGATAGATTTTTAATATGATTTTAAAGAGTTTTGTTTGGCCTCATTCTTATTCAATGAGATTAATTTAAAGCACTTATCCCCTGGGTTTAAGTCAATCCATGTAGGATTTGGGACGGGGGTTGTTGCCCGGGGAGGGGGTTGTTTGCAGGCCTCTCTGAAAGACTCCTTTCCCACTTCATTAACCCCGAGCTGGGAGCGACCCCCCCTTCCTCCTCCTCCTCCTCCTCCTCCTCGCCCAGCCGAGGCCCGGGGATTTACCAAACTCCGCCATTCACATGCAAAGAGCCGGCCCCATCCACAAAGGCCGGGGGCTCTCGCCCCCAGGCGTGGCTGCGCATTTGGCCGAGCCGACAATCGCGGGGCTCGGGGCGAACGGGGCAAAGCTCCCGGGACGGGGGCACCGGGCTGGGACCCGGCCCGGGGATCTGGAGGGGGATCTGGAGGGCCGGTGGGTGCCGGGGGGGCTCGCAGACAGCCGGGGGGAGCGGCCGGGGCCGGGGGGACCCGCAGCCCATCTGTCGGCTCCCCGAGCCGGCGAGCGCTGCCCGGCTGTCCCGGGCACCAGCTGCCGGGCCCGCTGGCCGCGGCCAGATGAGCGACACTTTTAAAGGGTGGAAACAATCCATTTTCCAAAGCGATCATTTAAAGCACTTAGGCAATTATACACTTAAGATTAGCGTTATTAATTCACCGGAGTCGCGGCTATCACCGCGCCGGGCTGCCCCGCTTCCCCGGCCGGTCCCGCATGCCGGCACTGGAGCCGGGCCCCGGGGGGACACCGGGCCCCACGGGGACACCGAGCCCCGGGGGGACACCGAGCCCCGGGGAGCGAGCGGGGGGTCCGTGCGATGGGAGGTGGGAAAACTCCTCTTTGCTGTTCCCTTCCCCTCGGCGGCGGCCGTTCCGCCAGAGCAAACAAGCGGGAGGGGAAGAAGAAGGGGCCGGCGGAGGCGAGACCCGTTTGTTTGTAAAGAAGTTTTATTTCCACATTTAAAAAAGGGGGGAGCGGGAGCGGCCGCGGCGCCCCGAGCCCCCCCCGCGCCCCCAGCCCGGCCGGGCCGGCCCCGGGATACAGACTGACAAGAATCACTTACACAAATACGCCCTCAGGGTTCACAAATAAATAATTCATATACATTTTGCACCGTATTTACATTCCACCGCTTTCTTTTTTTTCCTTTTTTTTTTTTTTTAAATTTTTTTTTTGTCTTTTTAAGTTTAAGTTACGGACGTCCCAAAGTCTCGCTGGGGCCATCGGCCCGGGCCACCCCGCGCTCCTTCCCGGCGGCGGGGCCGCTGCCCCAGGCTCGGGGAGCCGGGGAAAGCGGGGAGGGCTCTCCCCGGAGCCGCCCGTGGCAGGTGTGGCTCGGCTCCCCTGACTGTTCCTGGGGAGGGGCCGGAGAGGCGAAGCCCCCCCGGAGCATCCGACCCCCGCCCCTGCTCCCGGCGCCGTCCAGGCCGGGGTGGGGGACACGCAGCGGCCCCGCTGCCCCTCGGGGGCACAAGGGGGTAAAAGGTGGCGAGTGCCCCGCGGGGTGAGGGGCGGCTCCGTCCTGCCAAGCCTGTCCTTGATCCTTGCATTCTTTATATAATATTTTAAAAAAGGAGGGGGTGGTCTCATTTATAATTTTATATATATATAAATATATATATATTTGGGGATGAGCGGGAGTCTGTCACTTGCTCGCTGCCCCAGAGCTGTGGAGTGGCCCCCTCCAGCCTCCCCCGGCCCGGTGGGTGCCGGCGGAGCTTCCCGGGCTCACCGGAGCTCACCGGGGCTGCGCAGCCCGGGGCAGGACGCCGGGCAGCGGGGGCAGGGGCGGCGGGGGCTCGCTGCCGCCCTGCAGTCCGTGGATGAGGATGCGGGGCACCAAGGGTCTCTGTAGGGCGGGGGGCGGCGCGCTGGGTCCGCGGTACAGGTAGAGGGCGGCGCCGGGGTCCAGGTTGGAGACCAAACTCTGCGGGTAGAAGTAGGGCGAGGGGAACATCCTCTGGAGGGCTGAGTAGTTGCCAGCCTCAGCCAGCAGCTCCAGGCCCACCGCCGTCTGCCTTTTCCACTTGGTCCTGGGGGGACAAGTCGAGAGAAGGGGTCAAGGAGGGGAGGAAGTTCCCAAAGCCGCTCCCTGGCGCTTTTTACCCCTTGCACACCCCCTTTCCCCGGGCTCTGCTCTCGCTGAGCATCCCCGCTCCCACCGCTGGCTCCCAGGGCCGGCCTCTCCTGTAGGGCAGGGATGGGATGGGACGGGATGGGATGGGATTTAACGGGATGGGATTTAACGGGATGGGATGCAGACCCCATTATGGGGGGGAGGGAGCTCATCTCCCTGGCGGTCCCGCCGCGCAGCCCGGTGTGAGCTCCCACGGAGCTTTCCCGGAGCCAGAGCCCGGCTGGGACCCAATATCGGGATGTGAATCCCGGCGATAAAAAAATCGCGACAGAAATTCAGTCCCTTCCTGAGGGTGTAAGTCCCGGATTGTCACACGGCCCGAGGATGACGCGGGGGATCCGTGAGCTGAGCGCGGATGCTGCGATCACCCGAGGCCGCGGCGGCCCCGCTCCGCCGCCCGGGGCTCCGGGAGCCTCTCCCCGGGCCGGGGCTGCCGGTGCCGGGCCCGGCTGCTCGGGAGGCTGCGGGAGTCCCGCGGGGGGACAGGAGTGGGGCAGGGTCCCGGGGAATTCGTTTGCGGCAAATATATCTACATATCTGTGTCTAAATACACATATGCATACATACACACACACATATATATATATATGTGTGTGTGTGTGTATATATTTATATATATAAGTGTATATATTTTATATGCGTATATCTCGGTATAGGAACGTATATATATAAGTATATATAAATATATATATATATATATTCATGTGTGTGTGCCGGATCTCGTGGAGGAGCCCCGGCCCCAGGATCTCGTCGCCGGTGGGCTGGGGAAGGGCTGGGGAAGGGCTGGGAGCTCAGTTTCGGCTCCGGCGTGTCCTTGCAGGAGGGATTTGGGCAGAGGAGGGGTGATCACAGCGTCCCCCGCCGCCCCTAAACTTCCCCAAAGCCCCGACGTGGCGGGATCTTTGCAGAAGGAGAAGTGGGACTGGAAACGATGGGGAGGGAGGGTAAAACCCTGGAACGAGCGAGGGGACAGGGCGGGGGCCGCAGCCGGGGATCCCTCGTTTGGTGGCCGTGGCAATGGTCGGGGCTGGCGATGTCGGGACAAACCCACCGAAGCCACCGCGTCGCCAGCCCTTTTACAGATTTGTCGCTGAAGCGCTAAACCTATTTCCACCAGTAAATTATTCATCATAATAATAATTGTGTAATTACTGTAAAGGGTGTTAATTATTGATGCCCAAAGCAGTAATTGGTATCTATTATTAATGGGCCGATGTGTTATGCTGTTGTGTTTAGCTGGAAGCCCGGTCCTGCCTCCCCGCCTTGCCGGGGCTGGGGGCACGGATTGCCCCTCCTGCCCCACACCCGGCATCGCTTTTCTCCCCTTGGCTTTGGGGTAAAAGGCTCCGGGAGAGGCGGGCACGGGCCGAGCATCGCCCCTGTGCCGGTGCCGGGAGGGACGGGGCGGTTTTGGGGTGCAAATCCCTGCGTGGTTTGGGGGTGCGCGGCCGGGGAGGGGAGCAGGGCGGGATCCCGGCGCTGTGGGCAGGAGGGAACGGTGCATTTTTACCTTCTGTTCTGGTACCACGTTTTCACCTGCGTGTCGGTGAGGTTGAGGGAGGCGGCCAGCTCCATCCTGTCCTGCACGCTCAGGTATTTTTGCCTCTCGAAGCTGCGCTCCAGCTGGGCCAGCTGATGGTCGGTGAAGGCGGTGCGGGCTTTGCGCGGCTTTTTCAGCCGCACCGGGGGACTGTCCCGGGAACTGGAGATCTCTCGGTCCCCTTCTTCTTTCACTGAGCCGACAGGGAGGAAAAGAGGCCAGGTCAGAGCAGGAAGGGAATTACCCTCAGCGGAGGGGGTGACCCAGGGCAGGGCTCGGCTCCGAGTGGGGCTCACGGCACATTTGCTCTGCACCCCCGTAGATTTTAACCCCGGCTGCCAGAGGGCTCCCCGAGCCGGGCCCGGCTTTTCCTCGTCCCGAGGGTCTGGGATCGGAGCAGGAACCTTGGACTGTGCCGAGGGGATCCCCGGCCCGGCCCCGCCGCCCTCCTGCCCAGACCCCCCTGATCCCCCTCACCCCTCATTTCTCTCGGGGCAGGACCTTCCTCTGGCCGTATTCCCCCAAACTCAAAAAGCTTTCTTGGTGCTTGGATATTTTTTATTTCCTCCTTTTTCTATCTACCTTTTTCTCTCTCTTTTATTTTCTTTTTTTTTTTTTAAACCAAAACAAACTAACCAAACCCGAAAATTGCGAGCCCACATTTTATTTTTGGAGGGGAATGTTGCGGTGCTGGTCCTGCCTCTCCCCTCCGCGGAGAATCCTCCGTCCTCCCGGGGATGCTGCCGGGGCACGCAGCAAAACTCCCTTCTCCAGGGCGCACAACGAAATACTGGGGAAAGCACTTGGCAAACCCCTGTTTAACCCTGGTTTTTATCTTTAAAAAAGGCCGAACGAGAGGGGTTGGCGGCGGTTCGTTAGCGCGGCCGGTACACACGCGCCGGCGGAGCGATGCGGGAATTTACGCCTCAAAATGTTGGAAGGTGATGGGAAAATTACGGAGCAGCAACAAAAATAAAAGGGGAAAAATAAATTCCTGCTTGTGCTCGCCTTCTCCTATCTCCTGGAGGAGATTACGGAGCAAATAGGTTCGATTTATACAAATCGGCGGCGTTTGGGTTTGTTGTTGTTTTTTTTTTTTTACAGGGGTTTATGTTAAATTTGCTGGTGGCGGGGCTGAGTAGGGACAAGGCTGGAGCCGAACGCGAGCTGATTTCTCTCTGTAGGAAGACAATAATCCGGTTAATTGAGCCACCGGGGAGTGAAACCCTTCAAGCAGAAATCCTGGCTCTGGCCGAGCAGGCGGAACGAGCCGGGGCCGATCCTTGGGCGGGGAGATCCGGCCCCGGTTCCCGGGGACGCGGCAGCCCCGACCCGCCGGAACCGGGCAGGGGGGGTCGGCCCCGACCTCTCCCGGGAGCGGCCCCAAAGTTTGTGGGACTTTTTCGAGGAGTAAAGCGGGTCTGGCCTCTGGTATCCCGAGGAGGAAAATCCCCCCCACCCGGCCCCTGGGCTGATCCTCGGCTCCTAAAAAGTTCCTGCTCGCCCAAGGGCCGCAGGAACGGCGGCGACGGCTTCGCTGCTCGGTCCGGACCGAACCCTGGCTAGTCCTAGCTTAAAAAATTAAATATATATATATATATATATATATATATATATATATATATACACGTATTTAAAAAAATATTTTAGGTTTTTCCAGCACTTTGGCCGCTGGGGGTTAGGCCGAGCTTCGCAGCCCCTTTTTGTGGAATAAATCTGGGGCGTTTTGCCCCAGGAAAGGCTATTTCCAAAGCGGCACAAAAAGGATCGCTCTGGGAGCGGGGATCTTCACTCCTTCATTGATGCGGGGCTTTTACTCTCATTTAAACTGTGGTTTCATCCCCATTTAAATTGATTTTTAGTTTTTTTCCTCCGCTTAGACAGTCTTTTTCCCCTTTCATTTAAGTGGTGGGTTTTTTTTGCGCCCCGTTTAAGCGGTGTTCCCATCGCGATTTAAATTATTTTTTCCCCCATTTAAACGGCATTTGCAGCATGGCCGTGGCTGTCCCGCCGCAGGGACGGGAGAGGAGCCGAGGGGCTCCGGGAAACGGCCCCCACCCAAAGCCGAACCCCCGACCCGGGCTCGGCCGGCTCAGGGGATGCAGAGAATCCCCTCTTCTCCTCTCCCCTCGCTTCTTTCGCGTCTCGGCGATTTGGGGCAGGGGGAGAAGAGGTGCAGGCATTGGGGCCGGGTGTAGGAGGCGAGAACAAACAGCCAAGGTGGGATCGCGGCACCGCCGGCCCTGCAAAGTGGTGAGGCCGATGTTTCCTCCCGGGGCACTTCCAGCCCCGGCACCGAGCCCGGGCTCCATCCTTCGTTTGGAGTAAAAATCGCCCCGTGATGTCCAGAACCTGCCGCCGCCTTTGGAGGCTTTATTGGGTGATTATTTTTTCCTCCATGAACCAGATTTCAGCCCAGCGGTTCCGGGCGAACCCAGGCTGCATTTGTAGCCGGGACGGGGCTCAGCCTGTCCCCCATTTTTCCCCTGCCAATCCCCACAAATTCAGCGGCCCCGCGAGGTGCCATCACCTCCCTGTTCTCCGGCCAGCTGGATGGATTCCCTCTCCCTTCCCTCGCAAACAGCCGGCGAACAATTTTCTCGGAGAAAAGTTTCTGCAGAGGAGACGAGGGTGGGATGGGAGAAGGCACCTGGGATAAACTGCTCCGAGGGCGAGGTCTGACCTCAAACCCCGCCGTGCTGTTCCTGCGCCTCTCCCTGCCCCGACTGCGGCAAGGGGAGGCCGGGCAGGGGCTGGGGGGGCCCGGGAGGCCGAAGCCCCCGGCCCGGGGCGAGCAGCCCCCGCATCCCACGGCCCCACGGCCGCCGGCGCTGCGGATGCGGCCCGGGGCTCCCTGTCTGCACTGCTCGGTTTTGAACGATTTCCAAAATAATAACCCCAAATAAAAACAGTCGAATCAAACCCCGCCGAATGGCTTGTTCGTTTCTCGCCGGAGCAGGGCAAACACCTTGCAAATGCGTGATTATTTTATTACGGTTCTGTTTTGGTTTGTTTGTTTTGGCTTTTATTTTTTTTTTTTTTAATTTTTTTTTTTCCCGCAGGCAGAAATCCGTCTCCGCTCCTCCTTTCCCGGCGGGTGGAGCGGCACAGCCGGATCTCTGCGGCGGAAGGCGGCCCCGGAGCATTCCCCGGGCTCGTTCCATGAAGCACTGCTTGCCCCAGCCCCTTCCACCGGGCCGAGCCCCACCGAACCCCCAGGTTTCCCCAAGCTGGTGCCGACCCCTCGGTCATTTCGGGGGCGACCGACACCGTGACCTGCCCTGAGCAGTGGGATCCCAGAGCTTCGGGAGGCTGCGGGGCCGCCGCAGGCTGCGGGGCCACACAGCCCAGCGGGCTGAGCCGCTCTTACCTTTGTACTCCGAGTCCGAGGAGGAGCTGCTGGTGTTTTTTTCCATTTTCTCCCTAAAATCCTCGCCGGGCTTGGTGGGGATCCTGCCCGCCGGCTCCTGCCCGCCGTGAGGTCCATTGGTGCTGGAGTAAGGCGCGCAGGCTGCCAGGGGCTTGCAGTCGGCCAGGATGTCTCTGATGAGGAAGGAGGAGGTGACGGTCCGGGACTGCGAGGGAGCCGAGACCTGCCCCGGCTGGAGATGCGCATCCAGGCCCGGCCGCGGCGCCGCCGCCTCCAGGCACTCGCGGCCCGGCGAGCGGGGCGAGGGGCAGCCGCTGCTGCCCTCCGAGCGGGGGCTCAGCTCCAGCGGGGACCGGCCGTCCCCCACCAGCGGGTCCCCCTTGGGCACGGCCGGGCTGCCGGCTCGGTGGGAGAGGATGGAGTCGATCCCAAAGCCGGTGGAGCCCTCCATGGCCCCCGCGAGGTGCCGGCGCTCACACGGGCATTGGCGGGGAGGGCGCGGCGGAAGCGGGTTGGTAATGATAATTAACGGTAACAGGAGGGAAAAACAAAAAAATTAAAAAAAAAAAAAAAAGGAAGAAAAAAAAATTAAAAAAAACAAGGTATAAAGGAAAAAAAAAAAAAAGAGCAAAGTTCAGTCTGGGATCCGGGCAACAATTGCTGCAAGGCTCTCCGAGGCGCCGCGCGTTAGATCCAGGGCTGCTCCGTCTTCAGCATCGCGCCCAGCTGCACTCACAGACAGACAGGAGAGGGGGGGAGAGGGAGGCAGAGTCAAACTTTGGCCGCGAAGGGGGTGGGGTGAGGGGGGACGGACCCCAACCTCACCCGGGGTCCCGGCCACCCCACCCGTGCCCGGAGCCGCGGCGGCGCGGGGCTGGGGGGCAGCCCGGGGGCTCCCAGCCGGAGGTGGGGAGGCAGCGATCGATAGTGAAGGCTTCGCAGCGCCTTAACCACTTAATGATCCAGAAATCAATGGGGAAGGGCGAGGGGAGGGCGGAGGGGGTGGCCAGTCGCCGGGCCGCCGCCGTGCCCCCCTTTCCCCAACAGCACCTCGGACAGCGCCGGGGGGGAACCGGAGTCACTCCGGAGCCCGCAGCACCTCGGACAGCGCCGGAGTCGCTCCGGTGCCTTCAGCACCGCGGACAGCGGCGGGAGCGCCGCGCCCTCCCCGGGGGGGAACGGGGGAAATGGGGAGAAAAAGCTGAATTTGGGCCGGTCCGGCTGGGGGACCCCGGCACCCCCCACCCAGCCCGTGTGAAAGCGCCCATTGGCCGCCAGGCGATTTGGGGGATGTCACTCCCCACCAGGCGACACCTCGGAGCTTGATTAACGGGAATTAATTGTAGCCCGGATCCCCGCGCTTTCCGGGCGGTTTCCGCCCTCTTTTGCTGTCATTATCCCGCTGATGGGGCTCTTAATGGGATGATTAGCCGCGGAGGGAGGGGGGGTGTGGGTTGGGTGGGTTATCGAGGGGTTACTGCTTTCTGCGAGCTTCCCCCCGCAATTAGCTGATCTGATCGGTCCCTCCCGAGCAGGGAAAGTTTTGCTGGGCGTTAAAATTAAAACCAAAAAATTTAGGAAAAAAAAAAAAAGATAGAAAGAAAAAAAAAAAAAGCGGGAAAGGAAAAGCACCGAAACCTCCCCAAACCCCCAGCACTGAGGCGGCTGCTCTGAGCCCGAGATGAGCCTCGGAGCTGCGAATTTCGTTGCGTGCCCTGGCAATCGGTTGTGGCCGAGCAGAGAGGTCCAGGCGGCCGCCGGCAGCCGCGTCCCCCGCCCAGCGCCGCCGGAGCGAGGAGCGGGCATCGCTGTGCCCGCGCCCAGGGCGGTACCGACTGCTGCAACCGGGCACGGACCGCACTCAGAGCCGATTTTTTTTCTGCCGTCAATCGCATTTTAAATAAAACACCGATGGCCTCAGGCAGGGCTGCCCCGTCCTGCCCGGCTCTGCCGGAGACACCAACTTTCCTCCCTCCCGCCCCGTCGGGGTTTGCTGTTGTTGGTCTCCCAGGCTGGAGAGGGACAGGCTCACGCACGATTCCCACCTTCCTCGCGGTCAGACTGGCTGCTGTCTCCTCCAGGGTTTATTTAGGGGTTTTTCCCGTGGATGGAGCCTTCGCCGCGGAGATGGGAAAACGTCCACACCCGGGCGCGTGGAGCTGCGTCACTTTAAAGCGATGTCGCTGGTTATTTCTCAAACACTCGATTTCTTCTGTTCCCCACCTTCCCGGCCAGTCAGCTGCATCTTGTCCCTCTTCCAAAGCCGCCCTTGGCCGGCAGCTTGGAGGCGACCAAGGAGGGGAGAGCCCCCTGGGGCAGCCCGGCTGCCAGCTGTCGGGCAGCGGCGCACGCAGGGCCCCCGCACCTCCTGCCCTCGGCCCCGCAGCTCGGGGCCGCCTGCGATCGGGGCACAGGAACAAAAGAACTTTAGAGGAGGACAAGCCCAGGAACAAAATCGGCATCAGCAGCCCCGGTGCCAGCCTGCCCTCACCTCGTGCTGAGGGCTGCTCGGCCTCCCTGCCCCTGCTGAGGGGCTCCTGCTGCTGCTGTGCCCTGTGTCCCTCCCAGCACAGAGAGCCAGGACTGGGACCAGGGCAGTTTTGCAGTGTCCATCATCCACGAGGCTGGGCCAGGCGTCCCTTCGGACTGGAACAGAGCAATGGGTGCGCAGGAAGAGGTCCTGGTGAGAAATGGTGCTGATACCCTGATGGGGTTTGGCAGCTCCTCACAGTGTTTGTGTTGGTCCCTGGGCTCTGGCAGCCTCCCTGTTCAACCAGGAGATCACATTTGGGGTGGAAATTTTCACGGGGATAGAACCAGCACCGAGGTTTTGTTTGGAACCAGGAATGGGACTGGAAAAGGCAGAAGGGCTGGGAGTGGGATTAGGATCAGGATTTGGATCAGCCATGCAGGGACAGGTTTGAGCAGGTGAGGCTTGCTCTTGAATAAAGCACCTGCTTTCAAATAACCACAAGGAAGTCCCCAGATGAGACCAAATTCCTGATGATGTGCAAGGTTTTGGTGGGTATTTGATTGAACCTCTCAGAGCAGGTTCTGTATAGTGCCATGCCCAGCCAAGGCCCTGGGGACAGATATGTCACTCCTAGGCCACACTCAGGGCTCCCAGCAGCTACAGATGCACTGCTACTCATGTTCTAACGACACTAAAATTATTTTTGCTATTATTACTATTCATGCTATTGTTGTATTAAGTTGTTTCAGAGCTAGATTCCCAAGGCAGAAATGTGCCCCATTCTGCCCATATGTGGTGTCCCTCCCACATCACCAGACCCTGGACAGGTGGGGTTCCAAGGATTTTTCTGTGGCTCCCAGCACAGACCATGGAGCAGTGCACACTCCTTCCCTGTGTGTGCCTGCCCTTAAACCCCGATTTCCAGACTGTTCCTGTTCACAATCAATCAGCCAAGAGCAGACCCCTGATGCCAATGCATTCACAGCCAGCTCCTCACAAGCTTCAGTCACAATCCAGGGGTGGATTTAGGACTGTGGCAGCTTTGGGAGCTGCTGTTCATCCCACCCTGCTGGGTGATTCTGGGCTCTCCTGGTTCCTGTCACCGGTGCAGGTTTGGCCCTGGGGCCAAGGGGCAGGGCTGGCCCACGCTGACCCAGGTGTTCCCTTCCCTGCTGAGCTCTGACGGTGACTGAGCAAGGGTTAATGCAGAAATATCTGCACAGCCCGGTGTCCTGGAAGGCTCTGGCTGAGGGAGGAACCCCTTCTGAAGGTTGGCTGGGTGCTGGGTGAGGCCGTGCCCAGCTGGCACCGCGGGGATGCTCCGGTGACCAAAGGAGAGCATGGGCAGCAGGGAGAGCAGGGCTCGGGCGGGGGCAAGGGGGGCACAGGCAGCCGGAGGAGCCGCTGCGGCGGCGGTAGGAGCTCGTTACCGGTGGGTGTCACTGCAGGACAAGGAGCGGGGCCGGCACTCGCCGGCTCACGGCTCGGACGGGGCAGGGGTGCCAGGGCAGGGCTGCCCATCCCAGCTGTGATACCGGGGACATTCGGAGCACGACCTAGGCCAGCATTTCATTGTCAGATCTGTCGGTTCTGAGCTGCACCGAGAGTTGTTTGCTGAACGCACTTTGTTGATTTGTGGGATGATTTTCGGGTTTCTTTCTGGTCTCTTTGCTGGTTTCCTGTCCCGACCAGCAGCTCTGCTGGGTTTGCTTTGGTTCACACCGTTCTGTGCCAGCCCTCCCCAGCCTGGCAGGACTCTCTGGAGGTGCTTCCTTCCCTGAGCACACCCCAGGGAGCTGCTGCAGGAGGACAGGGATGCTGGGGCTGGGCTGAGAAGGGCTGGATGTGGCTCCCAGCAGGCAGAAGGACAAACCTCGTGCCTGGGTTTCTCATAAACAGTGTCATTTTTAGCAAGACAAGTCATTTAAGGCCCAGCTTCCTCCCTCCCTGGGGAGGTGGGAAAGGCCTTTGATTATAATCCACCTCTGCCAGCTTGGCAAGCCCTGCTGTTATCCCCCTCATTATTTTAGATGGGTTTTATTTAGAGGCCTGTACTAAAAAGAGACAACCATGTACCAGGGGTTTCCCGGTGTGGAGCAGGTGATTTTGTTCCTCCCTCAGCTCAGGTGTGGGTAGGGTGGAGTTTGTTACAGCTCCTTCCTTATAAAAGGGCAGGTTGAGGTGCAAACTGGAAATGCTGGAGCAGCTCCTGGGGAGCCTTCCTTGTCCTGAGAGGTAAAAACCAAGCAAACAAACTGCCCTTGCAATTTACTTTGTTGTTTCATCTTGAGCAATGCAGTGGAATGTTTTCAAGAACTCTTCTCTTTGAGGTTTGGGGTTGAGGGTTTGGCTGGAACTCTGAGGAGCAACGAGCCCTGAGCTCAGCACGGGTTTTTCATGTCCTTTGGCTGCTGGTGGCTTTATGTAGGACTGGGATAATCCCAGTGCCAAGGTGTGGGGGGCAAAACCACACTGGCACATCCACCTGAGCTCAGGATGCAGCTGGGGCTGCCCAGCACAGCAGATGTCACCTCCCAGAGCTCTGGGGTGAACACACCTGAGCTCTCCAAGTGCCAGTGGGAGAGAGAATATAAAAACTGGGGGATAATTTGGCTTAAAAAGCTGGTAAACTCTGGTCTGTAATGGTAGATGTGAGAAGCAGACTGTGTATGAGACATCAATTATTCCTTTAGTAATAATGGACATCCACAGTTTAAATAATGGCACTTTTAACCAAGTGTTACATGAAGTGAAATGCTCTGTTGGCTCTGCTGGGAGAAGGTGGATTCCAAATGCGTTGGCTCCTGGCTCAGCCTGTGGGTTTGGGTGCTGGGATGCTGAGTTGGGGTTGGTAGAGTTGGAGTTTGTTCAGTGAGTGCTTGGAGAGGCTCGGCCCTGGGGGACTCCAGGCAGCAGCAGCTGCTGCAGGGGGAGTGTGGAGCTGCCTGGAGCCACCTTAAAGCAGAGGCACTGCCTGT